ACGTGTATAACTCCCCAGCAAAGTGTCTCATGTACAGTGCATGACTGATATTTATTTCATTTGCTTGTCTAGGATCCCTGCGCCTATCAAGTGACTTGGCCCCATGGTAAAACTAAGCTTTTAATGGTAGCTCTTTCTCCAAAAAGGGTAAAGCTCTTCAGCATCTTCTGACCTCTATGACATTCATAATACATAACAATTCACATTCTATCAATAAGAAAACTCTTTCAATCCTGTATCCCTTATATTCTGAGCCTACTTATGTCACCAGATCACCAGGTTTACCTTTAAGAATCATGGAGTTCCCAAATATGCCTTTCTTAAAAATGTGAGCATGTTTTACGTCTGTGAATGTCACTTCCTTGAGATCAGCGCCTTTTAAATTGTTCAACATCATAGCACATTTACAGAATGAATGGTCCCTTTAGATGAAACACATCATCTGTAGCTTTTCTTTTTTAAGACAGTATTGTGATCTAAATATGTGTCTCACTCCCTAAAATTCATATTTTGAAACTTTATCCCCAATGTGATTGCGTAATCAAGTGAAGGCTTTAGGAGGTGATTATGGAGAAGCATTGGGGATTTAGATGTGTTAGTGACAATACAGTGAAGGTGGAACCAAATCATGAATGGGATCAGGGCTGAAGGACCTAGTTTCCCCCCACACACACACCAAAAAAAGACGCAGTTGCCTTCTATGAACCAAAAGATAATGGCCTTTACAAGACACAGAATTTGTTGGTGTCTTAACCTTGGACTAGGAGAAATAAATTTATTTTATAAGCTTTTGCCTCCAAGATATTTTGTGTATTTTGTTACAGTAGCCTAAAATATGAACACATTATTTTTATCCTAACAATTTATAATGAATCAGTACTTACCCGCCCTGATCAATGGTCAATTGGTATTATTCTAAGATCCGCTAATATCTACTGGTATTGATGTATAGCAAAGTTGTGGATAATTACTTCCATTTTTATTAATGAGATAATAGATTCAGAGGTATAAAGGTCAAACCAGATTTAAAACTCATCTTGACCAGACCTCAATGCCTGTGCTCAACCACCATACTGTCTCTTGCACCTCTGAATTCAAAATGATTGTAACTTGCCTGTTCTCTAAATGGTCTTTCTGACGCCATGCTGAGTAACCTAAGGTCCTCACGGCATCTCCGTTTGTGTCACATATTTATGACAATGGCCTAGTTTAATACAAAGGATGGAAGGAAGGGAGGGAGGTAGGAAAGAAGGAGGGAAGGAAACTAAGGGAAAGAGAAAAAAAAAAGAAATATAGGTCGGGGGGAACCACTGAGGAATCCAAAGTCACTCTCATTCTCCACCAAATTGCTGCAATAACGTAATTCCAACAGAGGAGTTCTTTGTACCCTTAGCCAGCCGCCAGTTATTATAAACTAAGGGTCATTTACTTCTCTACTTAGAACACTGCTGCCACTTAAGTTTGCAGGTAACTTTTCAAAACCAAAATCAATATGGAAACTGGAGGAATTAGGTATCAAAACCTGTAGATTTTAACTTAAACTCTCAGTTTCAACCTTGTTCTTTATTCAAGAAAAAAAAAATACTGTTTTTTTTTTTCCTAAAGACTCATCTTCCATACTTGTAGGAGATCCAAGCCTAACAAATCCTTTTAGTTTTGATCCTAAAATGTTATCGGGCAAAACTTGAAAGGTCAAGAATACAGAAGGAATTCCTAAAGTCTTAGAGTTAGGGGTGAGCTTTTAAAAATCAACTGCTCCCATTCTCAAAACAAGGCCTGTTCCATCATTACTAAGACAGTTTTCTAGCATTAAAAAAAAAAAAAAAAAAAACAGATGCAGGGGATCTTGTCACCTCCCAAGACAGTGCATATAATTTGCTGGTCAACAACTGTTAGAACGTTCTTACTTCCGTTGAGATGAAGGTTATCTCTTCCGGTTCTATCTAACCTGGCCTAGAAAGAACATTACTTCTTTGATCATGAAATACTTCCCCTGGTACTCCCAAGTCTTCTCTGAAGTCAAGTAGAAGGTTCTGGACTATTTCTTGGAAAAGGATGCATCTGGAAGTTAGGGTGGGAGCAGACTTCAGGAAATAAACCAGAGGGGTCATTACGTGGACAAACCTGGATGGAGCTGAAAGCAATCACAGGTCTTTCACTAGGGTTTGTATGGAAAAGCAGCTCCATGGCCCCTAAAGATGCGTCAGTCCAAAGACAGATGTCCCAGGAGGAGACTTTCCTGAGCCCTGTAGTGGTGAGACAAATGGTGTTCAGAGGAATCACCGTGCCGATAAGGATAATGCTTCTCCTGCAAATGCATGCACTTAAACTCTTCCTGTGCTTTTCTGGTCTTCCATGCATAAATGTTTAATTTTCCATTTTGCCATCAATCAGCTGGCTGCCCCGGGACGAGAGTCAGTGGATAAAAGCGGCCCAGACCTCCAGAAGCACTCAAGGCACCCCAGAGCTTCTAAAGAGCTGATGTCAGGACGAGGCCCTTGATTAATGTTTCCCTGGGACACTCTGACACCCTTGCACTGATAGGAGAGATAAGAGCCTGGCTAAGGCTGCCAGAAAGCCCTGCTTGAGAGGAATGAGGTCAAGGTCAGAAACATCAGGACATCTGCCCAGAAGCACGAGGCCTGGTTTCCTCTGGGGGCAGCGTGTTGGCCTGCAAAGGCCAGGCAGAGAGCAAAAGATCGTTTTGTAGTACTGGAAGACAAACAAGAGATAAGACAGATGGTGTGAAAGGGGAGGCTGGAGACCAGAGGAAGAATCCACAGAGAACAGACTGAACGCATCTGGGGATTTGCTGTGGAATGTATGACTTCATTTATCAGCGGAAGGACTGGCTTGTGTCGCCAGCCTCTGGGTCTGCCTACTTGGGAAGGGGGTCCTGTGCTGTACACAGCAGCACCTCAAATCACAGGGCTTTTTGATATGTTGCAGTTCTAAGTTCAATAACTGGCAACAATAGTCTCTATGTCAGATCCTCACTAAGGAAGTTTCTCTGGACTCTCCAAGAGTGCTCCTCAAGCCAGGTACTGCATTGTCACCGACCAGCTCAGGTACAAGCTACTCCCAAAGAAGAATGCCTCCTGGATGTCACCTCCTGACTGTGTCTCTCATCGGAAGCCTTCTCTTCACACCTTGGCCTGGGCTTGGCCAATTTCAGCTACCGTGATCAGAAAGGGCTTCTGACTGGCCTGCTATCCTCAGAGCTAAGTCTCTGCAATCAGTGATCCTCAGAAGTGAGCCAATGCACCTTGGGAGGGAGGGAGGGGAGAAGTCAGGAAGCATTCAGTGAGTATTCTGTAAGACTCATGTGAGCCAGTGTTTGCTGGTTTGTTTAAACACACTCAAGTGCACACACACTTGTATATAAGGACAGAGTGTGTTTATAGGCATACCTGTGTGTTGATTAGGATATATAGAGGCATTAACTCCCATCACCAATCTGTTCACCTATCTCTCCTATTACTCTAATGCACCAAATGACTTTAGATGCTTCTCCTCGTCATTCTGGATATCCATCTATGAAAAGACATCATAGAATTTCTTAGAGGTCCCTCCTAAGTGTCACCTTCTCAGAACTTTTGCCTAACTGAGATTACTTATTTGTCAGAGGAGAAAATGTTGACCCTTAACTATGTTGTCAGCGGCCTGGAACAATAATCAATGTTTCTTCATTCATTCATTCTCCCTTCAGTCGTTATTTATTTACACATTAGGCACTGGGTGAGATATTGAAGTTCAAATGATCAAAGTGGTTTCTGCCCTAAGGGGTTCCCAGTTTATTGGAAGATACAGGCAAATAGATGAGCAAACTTCAACACAACAGGATAGTTTATATAGCACAGGGATGCTCATGATACTTAAAACTCCCCCTCAAAAAAAAAGAAAAAAAGAAAAAAAGACCTAGAACATACTTTCTTATGTATGGCAAATGAAATAAGAAAGACCAAGATAGATTGATTGATTTTGGAAGTTTGTTTGTTTGTTTAAGAAAATAAGTTGTGGCAGCAGGTAGTTTAAACCAAACAAATAAATGTGCTTTGATCCTGATTATTTTTATTTGTTCTTCTTAGTTATACATGACAGTAGAATTTATTTTGACATACTTATACAAACATAGAGTATGTCTTATTCTAACTAGGATCTCAGTCTTGTACATGATGTAGAGATTCACCATGGCATGTTCATATATGTATATAGGAAAGTTATATCAAAATCATTTCACTGTCTTCTTACTCCTGTCCTTTTGAATTTTTTTTTTTAAATTTTGGCTGAGTGGGCACCATCTCAGCTAGACCACCTGGAAAGATGGGACAGAGGGACACAGTTATAGTCAAACTGTGAAAGTGGCTAAGAAGCTGTGCTTTGTATGTTCTGAGCCCCCGTCCACTGGTGCAGATCTGGTAAGAAACCCTATTTAAAGCATACCACGAGATACTATAAAGCTCACAGGGGGAAAGTGTCAGATGTGCTACTCTGCCATCCATTCCCCACGGAGTGGACAGGTAAGGCTCATTTCTAAAGGATTCTATTGGACAAGCCACTAAAGCAACCTAGAGCCCAGCCCTAAACCATCCTATCATCTGCTACTTCTGGCCTCAGAAGTCCCTGCTCCCACCCACAAGGAGTGAAAGGATAGGAAGACAGGTGCTCTCTGACTCTAAATTGAAGATACCAGTCAATTCCTGATGGAGGCCATAACCTGCTACGGTTTGATGTGAAGGGACAGTTAAAGGCAGAAAGAATCAGAGTCATATTCAGAACACAGAGCTGAGCTCCAAGCTCAGTTTCATGATGCGTAAATGTTAACTGCAATATGCCACTCTCACCAACCCATTGCAAAGATGAAATAGTGACGTATATAAAACCCATATTACACATTGCAAAGTGTGTGAAAGTAAGCAATAGCCCAACTGTCCTTCCAGCAGAATGATGTCTTCCCCTGTGCGATTTAAATGCTCCTGAGGATGTTCTTTTGGACTCACCCTTGTTGGATCCTGCAGTCCTGGGCTCATTCTCATCTGACTTATCTGGTCCAGCTGAAGCAGGAGACAGCTCCGTCCTCCCATCTTAATTGCTCCTCCCCTCCAAGTGGGAGCAGCTAAGCCAGGAGGAATCCTGATCCCAGGGGAGCTCTGAAGGAGCTGAGTCAGTGCCCACACAGCTACCAGACAGGAAACGCATCAGACAGGCTTTCTCTTCCCAAGGGAACCTGGCTCACCAGCAGCACTGAGTGGAAGGGTCCACACCCAGCTGAGGATCAGACAATTGGCTGTCCCGGGCTTCCTTGCTGCTTCACTGTGAGTTTCAAACAATCGCCCCTTCTTCTGAAGGTACAACTGAGAGCCTTTGGTTCTTATCATCATCATGAGCACAAAGCCTGAGATTCCCATAACAACACAGAAACAGAAGTGAGCAATGAAGCAACATGATCCCGTTGGGAGAATCACATTCTCTGAGTGTGAAAGAAAAAACACACTAGTCAACAATCCCTTTAAATCTCAGTGTCCCTGAAAATCACGAAAATTAATGGCAGATATGATTTGATTATGAAATTGGCAAGTAAGAGTGAATGAACACACGGATAAGGGACATGGTACCCAGTGCTGGTGAGAGTGTGAATGAACAGACACTCGCATATACTACCTAGGAGCAAAAAGGACATGACCTAACCAGTAATGATATTATGGTTTAGATGTGAGGTGTCCCCCAAAAGCTCATGTGTGAGACAATGCAGGAGAGTTCAGAGGTGAAATGATTGGATTATGACACCATTACCTTAATCATTGCATAAATCCAATCGAATGGATTAACTAGGTGGTAATTATATGTAGGTAGGATGTAGCTGAAGGATGTAGGTCTTTAAGAGTATGCTTTTGGGGTGATTATTTCGTCTCTGGTGAGTGAGCATTCTCTCTCTGCTTCCTGGTGCTGTGTTCTGAGCTGTTTTCCTCTGCCTTGCCTTTATACCAGGATGTTCTTCTGCACCTCTGGCCCAGAGCAATAATCTGCCATCTGTGGGCGGAGACCTCTGAAACTCTGAGCACAAAAAAAACTTTTTCTCCTCTTAAGTTACTTTTGTTGGGTATTTTGAGCACAAGAGTAAAAAAAGATGACTAAAACAACTAACATTTTGGAAAATCTTAAAAATATATTAATATGTATTATTAAGCAGAAAATCAGACTATAAAACATGTACAATCTGTCCTATGGAGAGCAAATATATATATTTGTATATCTGCATAAAAAATTATCTAATTATATAACAGAAATGTACCTCATATTTCATTCAGGATGATGTAAAGCTGGAGGTGATTTTTAATTCTTTTTAATATTAGAATTAGAGGTATTACATAACAGAAACAAAACATAACTCTTAAAAAAGAAGAAAGCTCATTTTAATAGTTGATCTCATGGAAGAGGAGAATAAAACAGTGGTTACTATAGGGTGAAGGGAGAGGGGACGAGAGGGATAGAGGAATACTTATGAATGGGTACTAAGTTACAGTAAGTAAAGAACAAGAAATTCTGTTGTGTTATTGCACAGTAGAGTGACTAGAGATAACAATAATGTGCTGTGTATTTCATAAAGATAGAAGAAAGAATTTTGAATGTTTTCATCATAAATGATAAATGTTTTACAAGAGAAATATATTTAACCTGTTTTGAACATTATATAATGTGTACGTGTATTGACACTTCAAAGGGTATTACATTTATATGGTCAAAGGTTTAGTTTGTATGAACATTTTGTTATGAAAAGTGGTAACTGAAAATAAACATTTGTTTACCTGCTACAACAGGCCAGAAATTATGCTAAAGAATTTGCATGCATCATCTTGGTTGAGCCTGACAGCCTCTGTGAGGGCAGGTATGATTAAATATTATTATTATTATTATTTGTATGTAACCATATGTAATCCAGACAATTTTACTATCCCTTCCCACGCATTTAAAAAATTAAGAGTTAAAAAATTTACCAACCAACTAAAAAGAATTCAAGTGATTTATTGGATTTCTTATTAATGTGGAAAATAAAAATACAGATGGTGATGAGGAAAACTTCCTAAAACTTTATAGATAGCATAATCTTAATTGTGTAAAATACCCATATGAACTCATACTTCAGAAGAGATCAAAGAATAAAAAATTCCACCAAAAAAGTTATAGGTGTCTATTTCAGCTGGGAGTTGGAGTGTTCCATTCCTGTTCTTTTGAAACACCAAAATTGACGCTCTAATAAGATGTTACAAATTTATATTATACATTATTATTTTATAATATAATTTTATAAACTGATAATAAGCTATAGTTTTAAATTTAAGAGTGTAAATATACAAGTATATAAATAAATAAACACAAAAGTAAATATTTGCTCTGATTCTATTTTACTGGGACCTAAAGTTAGTCTTGTTTGGGGGTCTATTTTTGTTCTGGGAGAAGGAAAGGAGGGGAGGTCAGATTCTATATACCTGAGACTCTAGAAGAAACTTATTGATATTTCAAATACATTTTTGAGATAAGCCTGTCAATCTTGGCTGTACATTAGAATCACTTGGGTGTTTTAGAAGGTATTAAAGGCTGGGTTTCATCTCCAAGAAATTCCTATTTTATTGGTTGAGGCTTGCATCTACCGCAGACATCAGGATTTTGTTTCAACTCTCCTAGTTGATACTACTATGTAGCCAGGGCTGAAAATACTTAGGTTATAGCATTTAAATGCCAAAGGCTGTCTCCAGAAACCAAAGCTAACATCTCTGAGAGTAGGTGCTATCAATGAATGCCTCCCCTGGAGTACACCCCATGCAAATGCATTCCAGGCCTGGAGCTAATCCTACTTCCAAATGTAGCAATATTCTTTCTTTGTCTCCACTTTCTCCCCTATTTTCCTTTATACATTTCAAACCATGCTCCAAAGAACATCTGGAGCTTTTTGAATTTTAATCCATTGACTATCTTCCTTGATATTAATTTTTTTGATTAGAGCTTCAAAGGATTGAATATTTTTATGACTCTTGATGGTTCCTATATTACTTTCCAAAAGTCTCCTACTGCTTTTCATTATCCTTGATACGTAACAATTTACTAGTTCATGACAAATTTAATTCATTAAATGATTCCATTTTTCTGACTTTGGTGACTAGAGCAGGTATAAATATTCTATCTACTTCTTCATTTATGATTGCTTCCTATTCTCCCTTACTTGGAAAAAATTTCTTTACAAATGTATCTATTATCATCTGCAATAATCTTATTATGAATATGTATAAATTCTATAAATAACTTAGACATGATCACTTTAATGAAAACCTTAAGCATTTTTCCTGTCTGCTTTTTTTAAAATTGTTTTTGTTCCTCTTTACTATGAAGATAGATTTCATGTAATGAAAGATAAAACTGTTGGATTTAAAAACTTATCACTTCAAAACTTGTATTTTTTCCTCCCATGATCTCATAAAGTGTTAATTCTATTTTGATATGTGAGTGTGTATATAAGATTTTTATCCAACAAGGATTTATACCAGTTTGTAGATGCAAAGGAGCTATTGAAATTTTCACTCTTCAAAGATCAGCTAATTTTGCAAAAACTGTTTATACAATGGCCCCTTCCCTTCAAGTCACATGAGCAAGTGCACATACAGGTTTTCCCTTCTGTCTCATTGATCCACCTGTCTAGTTTTGTGCAAGTAACATGCTGAGTTAAATCCTGCAGCCACATAATATCGTTTTTATATCCAAAAGAGCTGGCATTCCCTAATTCTTTAAGATATGATTTGACATATGCTCAAATATATTTTATAAAATTCTAATTCGTTGCATGATATTTCCTTTTGATCTTTTGCTCAGGATTAAATAAAATGCGTAAATTAATTTGTAAATGAAAAATATTTTAATCATTTTTTTTTTGGATGCATTGAAATTTCCTAATACTCACAGCCATCTCTTACGGATCAAAGCAAAGGACAATGACCCCGTTTCTCTCTGCTCAGGACCTAATTCTTTTACTTTCCTTTTAGCAATAAGTTTCTTGCCAATCACAGGTCCAGGTTTGAGAATTATGAGAAGATCCTAAGATTTTTATTTTTACTTCCTGACAGTGGCACTACGCACCTAGAAAAATAGCAAATCAGTGTCCAGCATTGAATTTAGACTTCACCTTCAAACAAAGCAAGAAGCACCATGCTGAATTTGGGTGCACAGTCTGGCCTTGTGAACAAGAAAAGGGCCAAGGTGATTATTCAGGGCTGTCATATTGGGCATCCAGACTTTAACCCTGTTCAGTAAAAAAAGTATTGCTTTTAAATGTATCATATCACCACTGTAAGCATGCATACTTATTTAAAATTTCTCTTCCCTCAGCCATTTCAAGTGGATATCGTTGAGCTTGATATGTGCATAAATTTTACCCAGAACTCTAGCCTCAGTGCTGCTTATATAAGAGATAATCGTTTCAAGAAGAGAGTTAACTTCAACTGAACTCCTAGTGCAGGGGAGGTACCTTGTCACACTCAACCCCTGGGCACATTCTGTGAGGGAGGGATGCTTCTAAATCCCCCTTTTAAATCCCCATATTTTCAGTGATTAAATTAAGTTTCAGACTTTGGGGATTGAAGTTGGCCTTATAGGACACTCAAGTTACCGCCTTGACTATTGGCATCTTGATAATGTTCCAGAGAGATCTGTCAGAACACACCGTCTGAACCCCTTTGAAGATGCAAAGGCCTCTTCTTTCAACTCTTCTTTCAACTGTGTCTGGGTTTATTATCAGATGCCTCTTGTCTGACCAGTTAAAACAAGATAAACAAAACAGAACTCCTTTAGACCCAACTTCCTTACAATTTATGACTTTAGGGTATCACTTGAGTACTCGGAAGTCAAAGAGAAAAGGGCTTATCTCTTTACTCAACACAGCTCCAAGAATTTGGAGGGACTATCACTCCCACTCAGTGACAAGTAACACAGAGAAATTGGCATCCTCATAGTTAGGAACCCAAAGTAGGGTTGTCTTTTTCAAGGAACCACATTCTTTGTAACTGGGGGTATCAAGAAAATCTTGTTTTTCTCTCAACTGTCAAAGCTCTTGCGGAAATATCCCTGGACCCTCAATCCAAAGGAAGCTGTACCC